TCACCTTCATGGGTCAGTTTTACACCGTGATACAATTATTTCACCTTCATGGGTCACTTTTACTCCGTGATACAATTATTTCACCTTCATGGGTCAGTTTTACACCGTGATACAATTATTTCACCTTCATTGGTCAATTTTACACCGTGTTACATTTATTTCACCTTAACTATTGTTTGGTAAATTCACTGTCAGCCGGATTGAAACGGTTGTCTTGCTGCATGACCGACATTAAAGGAAACTGCGACCTGCTTTTGGTGAAACCAGAACTGGTGGTTGAAGACAGCCAATAGTAGCAAAAGAAGACTCAACTACTTAATTGTTAAAAAGGCTGATGGTCCACCAGCATTCAATGCGGTCGTGTTTTAGATTCTTCATGTATGGAAAATGAGGTGACAAATATACATTCGGAGTCTGTTTCCATTCGTCGGTTTAAAGGTCGAATCTACTAACAATGAATTTGGCACATGTGAAATTCCGCGTTTGACCAAGACCTGGAATCGTTTGTTTCTTTCGTTTATAATTTCCATGAAGTAGCTAGTCTTTCTGATTAACTTTTTGATAAATCTTCCCACAAAACAGGTGACAAATTATGCAGATTTGTGTTGTCTGATGCCAACAATATTTTAACAGATTATAAAATAGCAATTAAAAACAAATTAGTACAAAATTATGTCGTTTCAGTGTCGTTTGGTTTCCTATTATGTAAGAAACAACTACTGATTCCTCAGAAATTATATATTTGTACTCCAAAATACCCCATGTACTCTTAGACTATGACATGAATTAGGAGCTTCGGAGAACAACAATGCGTCCGCCATCTTGAAAACTGCACTGTAAAAACTGCCCAGTTAAACAACTATTAGAAATGGTTATTACTAAAGATAATAGTTRAAATAACCTTTAATAAAAGTTAAAAATGTGACAAAATGTGACTATTTCTAAATAGTTGGAATAACTATTGGTATTGSTCAATATGATTAAATCTAATAGTTACATSAAAAATAACTATTTCGATTAGTCACAACTATTACTATTAGTCATTATGACTCTATCCAATAGTCAATAGAGAGAAAAGACATTTAGTAAGTTATAACTAATAAAATTAGTCAATCCATTCAACAAATCTTAGAAACGGTACCCAATTTTATAAGTTGAAATCATAACATTTTTAAATATTGTTTTAACCACTCATTGCTAGTTTGTTTAAAAAATCATATAACCATTGTTGAAACCACTGCGACTGCGTCTCGTGCGTACTTTTTTGTTCTCACTACATTTTGACGTCATCTGTGTATCTATTAGAGTACACACGCACGGAAAAATGAGATCTATTTGTTAAATAATCACATCAGAAAATCTAAACATCGTTCTTAATATGTGTCAACTTAGATTTATTATAGCATACTACGACCATTGCTTCGATTTACGAATACGTCTCGATCTATCGCGTGTTACAAATATTAAATAAAGATGATCTTACCTTAATCGTCGACCACGCACTCATGGCCAGGCATTGTTTACAACAGCTCAAAACAGCGCTAACCACAGAATTAACAACGTAGCAGGATGATTTGACAAGTTTTAAGACTTTTTACCCAAAAGCTGCTAMTCGCCCAATCTGTTCTGTCAAACTGAGTACTACTCTATCGTATTTGTTTTTTAATTAGGRGAATCCCCTGTGTATCACGTGACAATTTGAAAGACGAAACTCTGTGACCCGTGTGATATTTTATCTATTTTTWAAATTCTTCTATCTATTTGCATTTTTTGTACTCAAGATCTCAACCTGTACTTAATCTCAACCTSTATCCACTTGAGTCGTTTCGACAAAGTCAAAATGAAAGGAAGGAGATGAAATGAAATGATAC